GGGGAGACCTTATTGCAGCCTATTGGTACTTAAAGGGGGCTTATAAAAAAGATGGTGGCAAACTTTTTAGCAGGGCCTGTTGCGACAGGACAAGGGAGAATGGCTTTAAACTGAAGGGGGGTAGATTTAGACTAGATATAAGGAAGAAATTTTTTACACTGAGGGTGGTGAAACACTGGCCCAGATTGCCCAGAGAGGTGGTGGATGCCCCATCCCTGGAAACATTCCAGGTCAGGTTGGACGGGGCTCTGAGCAACCTGATCTAGTTGAAGATGTCCCTGCCCATGGCAGGGGGGTTGGACTAGATGACCTTTAGAGGTCCCTTCCAACCCAAACTATTCTATGAGTCTACTTCTTGACTTGGGTATGTAACACCAAAAATAAAAAACAAAAGCTGTATATTATGGCACAATTAAAAACTGTACTCTTCATTGGTGTCTGCTTAACTAATTTACCATCTTCCAGAACATGTCCACAACCCACACCATACAAATGCATAAAATATTGGCAATTCAAAGTTTATTAACTTAAGGTAAATTGCATTGCATATTAAATTGTAAGTTACAGGTGCCATGTATTTTTATTAAAAAAAATTAGGTCATGCAAAAGATTAACTCAAAATTATGTTTTTTCAACTGAAGTGTTTTGGTTTTTTTTAAACATATACACTTGATATTCTATGTATCACTTACTCTAGTGTATGTCATCAGCGTGAAATAGCACAAGTTTTAGGCATTACATAGACAAGTGCTGCCATCTAGTGATGTAGTAGATTTAAGCATCACCAATGCCACTATATAAATAAACTTAACATCCAGTTACTCATCTGAGCTCCACTCACACTAAAAGATGTCATAATTCTGCAGAAGCATATGGGTGAGAAAAAAACACATTAATCCAAGTCACATGATTGATGCTGGCTATTTCTATGCTCAAAGCTAAATGCAGTTTTATACAAGCAAATGGTAAAAAGATATCACTAAGACCACAAGTTTCAAGTCATGAATGGACTTAAGAGGTTGCAGAATAACCTCATTCAGCTGAACTCCTGCAGTTTCAAATTATGCAATCCACATGTGACTATCTAAATACTCATTTCTTAAATTCATAATATGGCTTTTCTTAAGATTAGGAAGGACATCTTTACATAGCAAGGCAGTTTTTAATACTATCAGGTCCAATCACATTCAATTTAAAAAATACCTTTAAAGCTGAGCTGAAAATCAAGTTTTCTTGAGAAGGAAATTTCCTGATGTCAAAAAATTATTACAAATTGGGGTACATTATTACAAATTGGGGTAGAAGCTGTTTTCCACTGCTTATCATTTTGAATTCTGTGCTAAGAATAGATTCTTATGAAAGAGCTTCCTTGCAAAAAAACTGTAATCATTAGTGTAAGTTCTGTGCAGTCCCGTGAAGTAACGGTTAGTCCCACCAGCCAAGAGAACAGAAACATAACCAAAGAAGAAGAAAAAAAAAAAACCACCCACACCACCACAATTGTTCAAGTTTGTAGTGTTTTAGCTTTTCCTCAGTTTCCTCAAGAGAGGTAAGGTTTGGAATTTTCCTGTCTCCAGAACAAGATATCTGACTATAGGAGAACATGATAAGAATTTTGTGACTGAATGTTGAACCTGACCTTCAGAACTATTTTGCTTGGATGCGCATGGAATTCAAAAGTTGGGTCCAGCTGTTACAGAGTGAAAACAACCCACTGAGGCTTAGATTAAGGAGACTCAGGCAATCAAAATGACAAAATACCAGTTGAAGATTTCAGCTGGAAAAGGAAGTATTGACATTTGTCCATTTGAAGTTTTGCTTGTTTGCTTGGTTGTTTTGGTTTTTTTTAAACATACATCCATCCTTACCTGCATTTCAAGAAGCTGGAATTCCAATTGAAAAGACAGGGAGTGGCAATTCCCTGATAATCTGTGCTTCCGCACTGTTCTGTTTGTAGCTGTTATAAAATAAAGTTAACAAAATACTTGATTATAATTCTATTCAACAATTATTGCATTTCTTCCGTTACTCATATTTAAAGTACCAACTGATACCATCCATCATATCAATAAAGAAGTCAAGTTAAACATGTTAAAAAAAAACCCACCAAAACAACTTCACAGTGGTCTTTCACTTTCCCACTATGCGAAGTACTATATTTACTCAGAAACTATTTTGTCAAGAAAGAAAATTCTATTGTATTTCAAAATAATTGTCTTTCTGCTAACATTGAAAGTAGAATTACAACATGCATTTGCAAATGTAATGAACTGAAACAGTGTGCTCAGTGTAGCACCAGTAAAGGGCACAAAAATGCTTACTTTTTTCCACTGTTTTCTTGGAATGACTTGTGAACTGAATACCAGTAAATTTCATTAAAAATGAAAGATCTGTTTCTAGACTTTCAAGTTGAGCTTTCAGGTCTGACGGAGATTCATGTCCCTTAGATTGTCCCTGAAATTCTCTTTGGAATGATTTTCTAGAATTGAAAAAGAAAAAAAAAAAATCAAAAAGGCAAAAGACCCAGACATAAGAACATGTTTTGTCACATCAGTACAGCAATACCATTAAATAAAAGGCATTTGTAATGTGATCTGATGATTTTCAGACCAAGATTAGTTTTCAATGAGTCAAATTTCGGTTGGATCATATACTAGGAACAGTAAACTATTCTGACTTACATAAATACTTTATGTTCACTGCCAGGTAGACACAGCCTTTATTGTATGTCTTGAGATGCAAGTATCCATTTCGAGGAACGTACAACAGAAATGAGCTGTGACGCCTTTACTCATTTAAATGGCTTATTTTATCTATGGAGTGTACATTTACTATGGAATATCAGTTAAATAATGGGAACAAAAAGCCCTAACATGGCACTTCTGTAGCATATAACTAGTCACACCTGCACATGTCCCCAGTACCCCCCACATTTTTTTTTTTTTTTTTAAGTAAATGTGCACTGAGCTGTTTCACAGTGCATAATGGAAAACATAGCTTTTGCAGTCAACAACTTTGCAGGGCCCGCACAGTAACATACCTGATATCATGCTCCGACCACTAAGACTGCCTTTAAAAAAAAAAAAAGCAAACAAACAAAATCCTAAACCCCCCCCCCAAACTACCAACAGAAGGCACTAAAAAGAGATCAACTATTTATTATTTGTAATCTTTTACCATATATAGCCCACGTCCTAAACAAAGATCAGCACTGTAAAAATAGCATAAGGGAAGTCCTAACATAGAGGTAAAAGTTTATCCTGAACAATTTTGACAAAGAAACACTATTAATCCAACATGTGAAAAAAGGCATACATTGACATTAATATCTCCTCGTCAGAAAAAAAGGTGGATTCTTGTTGGCTATCTTCATACTTTTCAGCCAGTAGTTTAATTTCTTCTTCCAGTGACTGGATTTCATCTTCATAAACTTGACAAATGCTGTTGTCCATTTCTCAGAATCAATGTTACTAGATAAAACAAAATAAGTATATTTCTTAGGCCAAATAAAAAAAAAATCCATTTTCAAAATAAATTATTTTTATCCAAGGAATTAATTTAAGAAATTAAAATGAGACAGTTCTATTATATTTTATGACTTCTGAAAACTGAAGAATTGGTACATACAATTTTTAAATATCCCAGATAGCTTTGACAAGTATAATAATTTATACCTCCGTAAAGAATTCTAGAGTGTCAAACACTCCTGTTTCCTATGGAAGATTAAACTAACATGTAAACCTTGATCCTCAACCAAATTTGACAGGAATTCTGTCACCAACTTGAAAAGAGAATTAGGTTTTCAGCAAAACTCCACTCTTAATACTACAGTACTCTGTCATCAATGTAACTCTTATTTAAACCCCAGAAAGTCCACTTAGAAAGACACTACGAGAGCAGAAAAGCCACTTTTTCCATAATTCTGAATGTAACAAAGCTTCCTAAGAAACATGGTAACTCAGTCTGCTAAAAGCATCATGAACAGGAAAGATCCTACTTCCAGTGAATACAGGAAGCTACTAGATACCCGCAAGAATGGTGACAAAGAACAAATTTCTGACTTTACATAAAAGAAGAAAAAAGTTTTCTCCAAAATAGATAACAATTTTGAAAAAAAAAAAATGTAGTTTTGTTTTATTAGTTTCTCAAAGACTTAATTCCTTGAATCCAAATGTAGTTATTAAACCAATTTTAAGACACAGATCACTGCATAGCCTCCAAATACAGAAGTTAAATCAGGAATCTAATGTAGTCAAAGGCTTTCTTTAAGAATCTTTTTAACTAATCATGATTTCATCCAGGAGCATATCCAGCTGTTTCACATTTGCTGTAAAAGAACAACAAGCTGTTCTGCAGATAGAAAGCAATCCTACTCAGATACAGAAACTGCATCCAGCTTTGACCAATTCACCTAACAATCCACCTGATTAAATAAAGCACAGCTGTTCCTAACACCATAGCATAATCTGCCTTTCAAGTAAACACCAGTAAAGAGACACAAAGAAACCACCATGTTTCACAAATAATTCAAAATAAATGTACATCAATTTTAAGAAAAAAAAAAAATCTGACATTCAGCCTAGACACGACACATTCAAAGGACAGTGGAGAACATTATGCAGCTCAATACTGATGTATTAATACTTTCAACCAGGAAAGAAAAAAAAAGTCTAGTTTTACATGTGTTTTTGAACAACCCCTACTTGTATTTGCAAGATCCACGCTAACATGGTTCAATAAAAAGAAACAGCACCTGAATAACACATATAAGAAAACAACATTCAAAACATGGTTTGCATTAAAAACTTATTTAGTGAATAAAGAAAGTATATGCAATTAAAGAAGCTCTGAGATTGTGCCTAGTCCTGACCTCCTCTGAAATTTTAAAGCAATTTTATGCATGTATGACAACAAACAAGATCAGTGGGGACAAGAAATAGTTCTCCAACTTTTAATGCATCCTATTGGCTTTTTTTTTTTTAACTGGATACATTGAAGAAAGTTTTGGTCATAAGAGTACATTGGGAAAAAGAAAAACATTACAATAGCCACAACTTCACCCTAGGTTGTTAGCTAATTCCTCTTTTAACAGCTGGCTGTTTTGAAGATAGTAACACAACACACATTCCTTACAGCTATTTTAACTCAAGTGATTTTAATAGACTGCAGAAGACTCAAAGACTATTTATAACTTCAAAGAGCATTATTTCCAGAAAAAAATACCCGTACATACTTTTAATTAAGCATAAATTTAGCGACAATCAACCAATCATTTCTCCTCACCCTAAGCATACACACACACATAAATACATTTGTGCATTAACGGTAAATATCTCACGTTTCTACGTACCTGCCCGTACACACCCCCAAGCATTTGCTTTTATGCTGCCACAAGAAGAGGTGGGAAGAGCATTCGAGAGTTTGTGAGAAACGAGCTGGTGGGGTTCTGTGTTTCGTTGCTTTGCTTCTAGCCTTCAAATCTCACAAGCTAGCGGCTAGAAACACGACTCGGAGAGCCGGTGCTAGCCCCAAGACACGGGCTGAGGCTCACAGGTGCCAGAGACTGCCCCGGCGGCACAAC